GCGTTAGGGCACGTCGAAAGTGTTTGCAGCGAAGTGGCAATTTCGAGGACGGAAGAAGCTAGAAAGCTGAAATTTTATAAAATTATTTTATGCCTGCGAGTAGTTCCGAATTTAAATTAAGCTTTGAGGGATGTCTAACTCACGTATTCTGTGCAGGTAAAGTTTCAAATCCCGTAGCCAGATTAAGAAGTCGTAATTCTGTAAGAGTGTTTATTATTCATGTGAAAGACCGTACGAGTAAAATCAGCTTTCATAAATGTCTCAGTCTCTCGTACGGACGCCGAATTTGAAGATGCATTTTGCGGACAACATCTTCATGCAAAATTTTCTGTAATCACACATGCCTGAGGTGCAGATTTCAGGTGCATTTTTAACACTATTGTCCCAGTCGACATCTATTTCACATGCCAGAAAAGGCAAAAACACTGTCAACATGAGTACACATGTCAACATGAGTACTAAAAAACAAGCATCGTCCGTGCTGTTAGCGTTTTAACTGCTTCAAGATTTGAGCGAAAACGCATAGTGACATCAGCAAGCTGGATGCATTTCTACTTGGCTTGCTCAACGTAGCAGCACTGTAGCCATGACAGCGAAGGCGCATAAAAGTGAAATTTTAGCTCTCGAACTATCTTGCAAAGGAGTTTGAAAAATTCGATATCTCCAACTTGTTATTGCTAATTTTAGGAATCCAACTGGAAATATGTATCAGAGTTGCTATGAAGGCGTGATCCCGATTAATCCGAGCAGCGCATGACGAGTCAAAAGAGAATCGCTGGATTTGGGACAACAGTCTTTGACTAATAACTTTGCTTTCACCAACCAACAGTTTTCTTTCTTTTTTTTTCTGAATTTTGGGGTGTTCTGAATCGATTCTCATAAAGCGACCAAGGAATCTACGGTGGTGTTGTCACGTCGAGAACGAACGCGGACGAACGGCTGCTTTACTCCCGCCGTTGTGCTGGTCGATAATTGTACTGTTACTACTAACCGCCTAATTAGCTGTGGACGGGTAATCAGTCTGAAGTCAAGAGAATTTTGATTCGCTCCCGAATCACTTTTATTTCTGAAGCTTTTGAGGCTTAGTTCGTTTAGGGTTTCTGGCGCCTGATGCGATTTATCGACTGTTACGTTTTGCGATGTCCGGCAGCTGTCGCG